AGAATTTCTGTTCTAGTAGATTAGTTTACATTTCGTGAAGTTGGATATGTATGTAAACATGCATGATTACATTATATTTTCTCTCGCTTCTCTCAGTCAACATAATTTGAGATTCACCAGAGCTGAATACATTCATAAGAAAAACTGCAGTGGGAGGAAAATGTTAAGTCAAGTTCATTCATTGAAATGCTCAAAGATGAGGAGTGGAAAAAACAACTTAACTGTTCTAGGAAAAACTCAGCCTAGATACATTGAAAAACATTTTCAAGAGTAAAGACTACCGACAAATCTCCTTAGGCAGAGTTGAAAGAAAGAGAATAGATTTGTCTTGGTATGGAATGAGTCACCTGGGATGCTCTCTAAATAGGATGAACCTGAACAGTTGTTGTTTCCCAAGATTGCTCCCTGGGGACCTGGAATGCCAACAAAATGAGTCTGTTTTCCCAAGGGGATTTCTCAAGCCTATTTTCTGTTTGTTTGTTTGTTTGGTGTTTTATTGAGAGTGACAGCTTTCACAGTTGGGATGGGTATTTCTCTAAGTTGGGACAATCCTAAAGATATCAAGAACCCTTACTACTTGAAGTAAAGACACAGCCCACACATCACACTGTCTAAAAAGAAAAGGATAATAACTGATAAGACAAGCCTCTCAACCAGAGGTCACTCCCAGTGAATTAAAACACCAAAGCGTGATGCAGTCATTGAATGCCATGTCTGATATCAAGGGCACCCATAAAATCAGCTGGGAACAGAGCCCCTGGGGTAACCTCCATAACCAGTGTCTGAAAAGCAGGACAAAGATGACCCCAAAGCTGCAAACAAAACAACACACAAGAAAGCACACAGGAAACACACATTTTACTTTTTTACAGACAAATAATAGCACAGGTGATTAGGGAACTATTCCCAAGACTGCCACTTTCTCATAAATATTAACATAAACAAAGAAATCACATAAAATCAACTTTTTTTAACCTTTTGAGATGGAGTCTTGCTCTGTCACCAGGCTGGAGTGCAGTGGCTCGATCTTGGTTCACTGCAATCTCCACCTCCCAGGTTCAAATGATTCCCCTGCCTCAGCCTCCCAGGTAGTTGAGACTACAGGCAAGTACCGCCATGCCTGGCTAAGTTTTTGTATTTTAGTAGAGATAGGTTTCACCATGTTGACCAGAATGGTCTCAATCTCCTAACCTTGTAATCCTCCCATCTTGGCCTCCCAAAGTGATGGGATTATAGGCATGAGCCACCACACCTGGCCAAAATCAACTTTAAACTTACATGTTTAAGGTTTAAATATTAAACACTCTCTCACACATAGTTTACAGGAGTAAGTCTAATTCCTGTGAATCCTTCCTTTTTAAAGCAATGAAGTAAAGAATTTTTTGGCCCTTACCATTTCAACTTCTAATATGTATGCAGCATCCTAGAGTTGACACTGAGGGAAACTTGCTAGAATCAGTTCTATTTCAGAAGGCTCTGCTGAGCCCCTCCTATGTGCAGACCCAAGGCCACTGGGGACACAGGGCCATCTTTTTTCACAGTCTGGCAGAGAGGACAGGTTAATTCCATCAAAGGTCCCAAAAAACACAGTCATTTAAATAAACAGTGCTAAACAAGCCAATAAAAATTAAGTAAATAAAGTATGTCAAAATTTTACTTACACTTCCCACCCAAGCTTCAGACAATCCTCTTGCCTGTTTATAGTAGATATATACAGCGTCGCCTTTTGTAAAATTCACAAAATGACAATCTGGGCCTCTGAAATTTTCTAGAGCTTCACCCTGGTACATTAACACTGTAAAAAAAAGAGAGAGAAAAATTAGCCAGATTATCAAGATTGAATGTTGACAGTCCATATTGATTTATCAGGAAATAAAAGAATCCCAATATAAATAACAACCAAATTTTTCCAGTACTCTGGAATTTCTTTTATTTGCTCAAAGTATCTCAAATCCTTAGAGGTTTACTGCTATAAATCATATCTTCTACAAGTAGACAGAGGAAAGGAAAACCTTATCTATTTTTCTCTGTGGATAATACTGAGAAACAAAAAGCAATGTGTCAACTACCACACATGGCTTTTCTTATCCAAGTGAAATTCTTGATTCTGTCTCTAACTTTCCAATTCTTCAATCTTTTCTGTTTCAAATTCATAAAAAGCTTCCTTTTGCAAATTGGAAATGCAAGCACAGATGATGACTAGCTTAACCATGGCTATGTGAAGAGGTAATAGGGAACCAGAGTACCCAGGAACTCAAAGAGGCCAATTAACGTGAACTAACCAGTAAAAGTCTCCACCTTCAAGTGGCTGCAACCACTACTATGTAGCAGTAAACACTGTCAATTTCACTGGCAGCCAAGTTGTACTCTCTGCACAGTGTCTGCATAGATTAATGGAAAAGAATGTCTATCACACCATACTATAGATTCAATCACAGCACAAGGCAATATTTTCTGAAAGTAAATAATGTTGACTGCATCTAACATTAAGAAAGTTTCAAAACAAAGACAAAATACCCTTATGTATATATTTCTATAAACAAAATCAAAAGTCATGAACATCTCATGTAGCCAGGACTAAGCAAACTATGAGAATAGGTCAGTAATTCCCTTAATGCTTAAAAGGCATGCTGAAGTCATGCTTGATCTAGAAACTGTAAGCAGTACTTTTCTTTTTGTGTCCACATAAACAGTTTTCCATTCAAGACTAAATGGGCAATACATATATTTAAATAGCAGAGACAATAAAGGAAAATGGAAATAAGATTTTTTCCAAAACCCAATTTGCAATAAAATACATTGAAAATGTGTCTCTAAATGGCTACACAAACATATAGATTTGGAGGGAGTCATTTGTTTTTTGAAGCTAGACTCTGATTATGTTCCAACACGTCAACTATGGAGTTCAGACATCATTGAAGGAGAGGTCAGGTTTAAGACGACAGACAATTTAAGATTGGGAATAAGATCAAAATTGGAAATGGCAGTGTTTTTCTGGCTCTCCCTTAGAATAGATCATAGAGGATTTATAATAACATCAGAGGCCAACATAAATGTGGAACAACTATTGGAAAAGCACACAAGGACACTGTACACACTCATATTACACAACACTTTATACAACACAACAAAGACCCGTCCAGATGTTTCTCTGTTGGTGCCTGTTATATTTGGTTTCCTCTGCTTGAACACACACCATTTCTCAAGTTATGTTACAACCGTGAGCTCTTCTAACATCAGGCCTCAGTACTGAAGAAGCATCACTGATGTGACGACTCTCCAGGTAACCTGTTTTGATGAACCCAGGCAGGGCCATGCTTGCAAGCAAAGAATACCAACTATCTTGCCAGCACCAACAGCAAATGGATAACAGCTTGGTTTTGCTCCAAGAAAACTAAAGGGAAAAACCATGGCAGTTGTTCTGCTTTTGACAGCTTATTGACATCAACCACAGGGTTACCTCTAGGAATGGCTTCACACTCATTAGAGAGCTCTTTTCTTGATTAGTGTTGTAGAGATACAGACAGTTCAAATTATGAAATTTGGTTTTGATAACAAATTTGAATATAAATAGCTAAACTATAGGGTTTTTGGCCTTTCTAAAATGAATACTTTTATATAGGCCTTGCTTACCAATGTATGAAAAACCGTTTCTGCAGTGGCTGTAAGTTACAAGGTGGTTTGAGACCAGCTGAAAGGCTCTAAGAATGATCCTGGTTTGGGGAACACATAGAGAAGAGATTTCAACACACAAGTGGCTAAGTCTAAACCAACCTGGCTTTTGAGACCCTTGGGGTATTTATGATCTTTCCTGTAAAAGCCCTCTTCATCTGAGCCTGAAGATCTCCCCACCGCCCACCTCCAATCCTGATCTGGAGAGCAATTCTGCTTCCTATGCACAGAAGAGGAGGCTGCTGGTCCCAGGTGGTTGGTGCAGATCTTCAGCCTCTTTGCAGAGCAAAAGCTTTTGGCCTTCCTGCTGCCCTGCCTAGCAGTCTGCAAAAAGGCTTCCAAGCACAGAAATGATAGGATGGATCAAAGTCGGGGTAGAGACCTTGGAATACAATGAGTGCTTGGACTCCAGACTCGTCCCAAACCTAAACTCCTAATTCCTGTTCAAAAGGTGGTATGAACCCAAATCCCAGTGAAGCAAAAGGGCAAAGCGGCAGCCCCTGAGAGCCTTTCCAGAGAAGCCCCATGATCAACCTGACACAGAGAAAATGCCCACCGAGCCCTTATGGCATCTGCCGGGGTACTGCACCCACTAAGGTCCCCATAGTGCAAGCAAGAAAGCATTTGGCTGCGATGTGGGAAACCCAGTTGCGCGATGTGCAACCGCATCTACCCTCGGAGCCCAGGCGGTTGGGGGGGTGGTAAGGAACGCTGTGAGCTACTCCTGGGGAAACCAGGGACCACTGCAAGCAAGCCCCCGTTTCAGCAGAGGAAAAATAAAATGCTGGCAACAAGTGGGAGGTGCAGCCGCCACGGTCAGGCCCAAGTGGCTGGGTGCCGGCAGAGCCAGAGAAGGCAGACACAGGGACCCGGAGCCAGCCCACCTCTGCATCCTGCCCAACCCGCTTGCGACTCATGAGCCGGCCTGCTGGGCTGCTGAGCTCAGGCTGCTGAGCTCCAGCCCTCGCACAATCTGGGCGGTGCCGCCACGGAGACCATGGGCCCCTGGCCTTCCAGGCTCACTCACTGCTGCGTTCGTCGTCTGCACAGAGTTTGTCTTCCGAGAAGAGCCGGACAGTGCTGGGGTCCGGCTGGCCCGGCACTTGCCACAGCAGCCCGAGCACGAGCAGCCCAGGCACCGCAGCCATGTTGAGGTCACCTCGGGGAGCTGGTGACGCGGAGGAAGAGGCCGGTGGCGGAGTGCCGGGGGCGGGTGGGAACCCAGGTGCCACCGAGGGGCAGCGCCTGGGAACGTTTGAGCAGTTCCCAACTGACGCGTCAGCAGGGGCTTTAAGAGGGATGTGGGGGACCTCCAGAATGACTGAGGGAGACCTCCAGGAAGGGGACTGGCAGCCTAGTCCTCACCCCGAAGTCTTTTCCTCTGGTTGTTTCCTCTGGTCGCTGCCGTGGCAACCAGAACTCTTGTTTGTTCTCTCACATCCAATCACCTGACTTTGCCCCAGTGACTTCGTTCGTTGTTCACCCTTCTCTGCATGCTTGTCTTTTGGCCTGGTTTGGCCTTTTGGGGTGGCCTCAACTTTTGGCCTGGCCTTTTGGCCTGGCCTGTCCTTTTGGCCTGGCCAGTTTTTGGCCTTTTGGCCTCACCTGGCTTCTTGGCCAGGTCTGGCCTGACTTTGCCTTTTGGCCTGGTCTGGACTTGCCTTGCCTTTTCGCCAGGGCTTGCCTATTGGCCTGACCTTTTGGACTGGCCTTTCGGCCTGTCCTATCCTTTTGACTTTGCCTTTTGGCCTGTCTTGGCTTTTTGGCCTGGTCTTTTGTCCTAGCCTTTTTGCCTGGCTTGGCCTTTGGCCCTGCCTTTTGGCCTGGTCTTCTGTCCTGGTCTGGCCTTTTGGTCTGGCCTGGCGTTGTCCTTGTCTTTCGGCCTGGCCTTTTGACCTGGATTGGCCTCTTCTCCTGGCCTTTTTTCCTGGCTTTTTCGCCTGGCCTGGCCTGGCCTGGCCTTTTGTCCTGGCCTTTTGTCCTGGCCTGGCCTTGCCTTGCCTTTTGGCTTGGGCTTTTGGCCTGGCCTCACCTTTTGGCCTGTCCTTTTGGCCCGGCCTGGCCTTGCCTTTCGGCCCGGCCTTTTGGCCTTGCCTGGGCTCTTGGCCTGGCCTGGCCTCTTGGCCGGGCCTTTTGGCCTGGCCTGTACTTTTTTCCTGGCCTGGCATCTTGCCCTGTCCTTTTGGCCTGGGCTGGCCTTGCCTTGCCTTTTGGCCTGGACTTTTGTCCTAGCCTGGCCTTTTGATCTCAACTTTGGCCCTGTCCTGTCCTTTATTCCTGGCCTTTGGGCCTGGGCTTTCCTTTTGGCTTGGACTTTGACCTGGCCTTTTGGCAAGCCCTTGTCTTTTAGCCTGGACTGGCTTTTGGCCTGGGCTGGCCTGGCCTTGACTTTTGGCCTGGCCTGTTCTTTTGGCCTGGCCTTTTGGCCTTTTCTTTTGTCCTGGCTTGGCCTCTTGCCCTGGCCTTTTGGCTTTGCCTTTTGGCCTGGCCTTTTGGACTGGCCTGGCCTCTTGGCCTGGAATGGTCTTGTCTTTTGGCCTGCCCTTGCCTTTTTCACTGGCCTTTTGGCCTGGCCTTTCCATTTGGCAGGGCCTTTTGACCTCGTCTTTTGGCCTGGCATGGCCTCTTGGCCTGGGATTGCCTTGCCTTTTGGCCTGGTCTGGCCTGGACTTGCCTTTTGGCCTGGTCAGGCCTTTTGCCCTGATCTTTTGGCCTGGCCTGGGCTTTTGGCCTTGCCTTTTGGCCTGGCCTTTTGGTCTGGTCTTCCCTTTTTTCCTGGTCTTGCCTTTTGGCCTGACCTTTTGGCCTGGACTGGCCTCTTGGCCTGGGCTGGTTCTTGGCCTGGTCTTTTGGTCTGGCCTAAGCTTTTCACCTGGTCTTTTGGCCTGTCCTTGCCTTTTGGCCTGGCCTTTTGGCCTGGTCTGGCTGTTTGTCCTGGTCTGGTCTGTCCTTGCCTTTGTCCTGGCCTGGCCTTTTGTCCTTGCCTTTTGTCCTGGCCTGTCCTTTTGTCTTGGCCTGGCCTCGCCGTGCCTTTTGATATGGGCCTTATGGCTTGACCTGATCTTTTGCCCTGGCCTTTTGGTCTGGACTGGACATTTGGACTGGCCTCAACTTTTGGCCTCACCTTTTGGCCTGGCCTGTCCTTTTGGCGTGGCCTTTTGGCTTTGCCTTTTGGCCTGACCTATGGGTCAGGCCTGGCCTTGCCCTTGGCCTGTCCTTGCCTTTTGGCCTTGCCTTTTGTTTTGGCCTGGCATTTTGGCCTGGCCTTTTGGCCTGGCCTTCTGGCCTTGCCTTTTGGCCTGGACTTTTGGCCTGGCCTATACTTTTGGCCTGGCCTGGCCTCTTGGCCTGGCCTTTTGGCCTGGCCTATACTTTTGGCCTGGCCTGGCCTCTTGGCTTGTCATTTTGGTGTGGCCTGTCCTTTTATTCGTAACTGGCCTTTTGGTCTGGCTGGCCTGGCCTTGCGTTTTGGCCTGGCCTGATCTTTTCACCTTGCTTTTTGGCCTTATCTTTTGGCCTGTCGTGGCCTTTTGTCCTGTTCTTTTGACCTGGTCTTGCCTTTTGGCCTGGCCTGGTCTTGCCTTTCAGCCTGGTCTGAACTTTTGGCCTAGCCTGGCCTTTTGGCCTGGCCTTTTGCCCTGACCTGGCCTTTTGTCCTGGCCTTGCCTTTCTGCCTGGCCTTTTGGCCTGGCCTGGCCTTTTGGCCTTGTCTGGCCTTTTGGCCTGGCCGGGCCTTGCCTTTCCTTTTGGCCTGGACTTTTGGCATGGGCTGACCTTTTCCCCTGGCCTTTTGGCCTTGTCTTTTGGCCTGTCCTGGCCTTTTTTTCTCGCCTTTTGTCCTGGCTTGGCCTTTTGTCCTGTCCTTTTGTCCTGGCCTGGCGTTTTGGTCTGACCTGGCCTCACCTTACCTTTTGGCCTGGGCTTTTGGCCTGACCTTACCTTTTGGCCTGGCCTGTCCTTTTGGACTGGCCTGGCCTTTTGGACTGTCCTTTTGGCCTGGACTGGACATTTGGCCTTGCTTCACCTTTTGGCCTGGCCTCTTGACCTGGCCTCTTGGCCTGTCCTTTTGGCATGGCCTGGCCTTTTGGCCTGGCCTTAACTTTTGACCTAGCCTTTTGGCCGGGCCTTGCCTTTTGGCCTGGCCTTTTGGCTTTGCTGCCTTTTGGCCTGGCCTTTTGGCCTTGGCTGGCCTCTTGGCCTAGAATGGCCTTGCCTTGTGGCCTGGCTTTGCCTTTTGGCCTGGCCTTTTGGCCTGTCCTGTCCTTTTGGCCTGTCCTTTTGGCCTGGGTTGGCCTTTTGGCCTGGTCTTTTGGCCTGGCCTGGCCTCTTGGCTTGGCCTGGCTTTGCCTTTTGGCCTGGCCTTGTCTTATGGCCTGGCCTTTTGGCCTGCCCTTGTCTTTTGGCCTGGCCTTTTGGTCTGACCTGACTTTGTCTTGCCTTCTGGACTGGTCTGGCCTGGTCTTGCCTTTTGGCCTTGCCTTTCAGCCTGGCCTTTTGGCCTTGGCTGGCCTCTTGGCCTTGCCTGGCCTCTTGGCCTGGCCTTTTGGCCTGGCTTGGCCTGTTGGCCTGGGCTTTCGGCCTGGGCTGGCCTTTTGGCCTGATCTTTTGCCCTGGCCTGGCCTTGCCTTGCCTTTTGGTCTGGACTGTCCTGGCTTGGCCTGTTGGCCTGGTCGGGCATTTTGGCCTGGCCTTTTGGCCTGTCCTGGTTTTTTTGGTCTGGCCTTTTACCCTGGCCTCACCTTTTGGTCTCACCTTTTAACCTGGCCTTTTGTTCTGGCCTGGTCTGGTCTCATCTTGTATTTTGACCTGGGCTTTTAGCCTGGCCTGACCTTTTGGCCTGGCCTTTTGCCCTGGCCTTGCCTTTTAGCCTGGCCTTTTGGCCTGCCCTTACCTTTTGGCCTGGCATGGCCTTGCCTTGTGGCCTGGACTGGAATTTTGACCTGGCCTTTTGGCTTGGCATTGCCTTTTGGCCTTGCCTTTTGGTCTGGCCTTTCCTTCTGGCCTGGGCTGGCCTTTTTGCCTGGACTTTTGTCCTCACCTGGCCTTTCCTTGCATTTTGGACTGGCCTGTTTTTTGTCCTGGCCTGTTTATTGTCCTGGCCTTTTGGCCTTGCCTTTTTTCCTGTCCTTGCCTTCTGACCTGGTCTTTTGGCCTGGCCTTGCCTTTTGGCCTGGCCTTTTGTGATGGCATGGCCTTTTGGCCTCTCCTGGCCTTTTAGCCTGGGCTTTTGACCTGGCCTCACCTTTTGGCCTGGCCTGGCCTTTTGATGTGGCGTGGCCTCACCTTGACTTTTGTCCTGTCCTTGCCTTTTCACCTGGCCTTTAGGCCTGGCCTTTGGCCTGGCTTGACCTTGCCTTCACTTTTGGCCTGGCCTGGCCTCTTGGCTTGGCCTTTTGGCCTGGGCTGTCCTTTTGGTCTGGTCTTTTGCCCTGGCTTCGCCTTCCATTGCCTTTTGGCCTGGGCTGTCCGGGCCTAGCCTTTTCTCCTGGCCTTTTGGCCTGACCTGGCCTTTGGCTTGTCCTGGTTTTTTGTCCTAGCCTTTTGTGAGTTTTAGAGCAGTGGTTCTCAAACCACTGCTAATTTGCATCAGGTCAGTCTTTCCTGGAGGGTAATCAATAAGTATTTTGTTAAGCGCAGACTGCTGGTCCCACCCTCAGAGTTTCTGATGCTGTTGGTCTGGTTGAAAACTACTGTTTTAGAGCCCAAGACCTTTGAAGAATAATATTTTAGATTGAAAATAATTCACACAAGATAGTGACAGCCAAATACTGGTTTGGAAGTTAGTTACAGTCTCTGGTGTCTTTCCTATTTTCGATCTCCTTCTGTTTTAACGCCTGCTTTTCTCTCGGTAAGCTCTGGGATCTGTTTTTCCTTTAACATGTCTCTAGCTACTACCTCTGACAAGGAATCTCCTAGAAGGCCTTCATTATGATGCCTCCACTTCATAGAAAAAAATTAGCAAGCTTTACCTGGGTCCAAGCATTTCTCAGTATTTGGCTTTGGTGACACTTCAGAGGCATGAGTGTCCCTCATCACAGGTTGGTCCAAGTGGGGGTACTCTT